GGGGAGTCTGCTTCTCCCTCTCCCTCTGCCCCCGCTCCCCCGCCTCTTGCGCACATTCTCTCTCAAATGAATAAACAAAATCTTAAAAAAACAAACAAACAAACCTAGGAGCTGTGTTCAGAGCAAGTGAGTAAAGTGACTCAGCATCTGTTAGGCAATTCCTAATCCCCTGGCAAAGACAGAGCGTCTCTCCAAACCCTGGGACATCCCTCTGAGGTGACCCTGCCTGGCCACCATGTTCCTGTAAAGGACACAAGCTCCTGGACCGCTACTGGGCACTAAAGACTTCTGAGGACAGACACTGGGGGAGCTTGCTTGCACTTCTCCTAACACTTCAGGGTTCTGTAACTGTTCAGGCTCAATGAATCCAGACTTTCTCTTTCTGACTTCTAAGTTAGGATCTCTAGAGAGGAGGTCTTTGTACAGTGGGGCAAAGCTGTTCAGAATTTAGTATTGGCTGAGTCCACATTGGTACAGCAGATGCTTAAAAGATGCTTTGTGTATGAGACATTTAATTTCACTGCAGAGGAGAGAAGGCGGCCTTGTGACAGCGCCCAGAAAAGGCAAAAGGGAATCAAGAGATTTGAGTTTTGATTTTGTTTCTGAAACTCTCTGGCTATATGATCTGAGCCCTTAACTTTGTGCTTCACGTTTTTTTTCACTTATAAAATTAGGAGGTAAAACTTGCAAGACCCAGCCTTAAAATGGATTTCAAAACTACCCAGTTGGGGGTGTTTTAAAAGGATTTCACTACTTCCAGATGGGCAGCAGAAGTTTATGGCATTACAATGGAGAGGGTATGTCAGCCTGGACCATCACCTGGTCTTCCTGATTTCACCACATCTAGCCTCTCCCAGGGAGGGGGCTGTCGTGGATGCAGTCCTCTGTTCTCTGAGAAAGGGAACCCCACAAACAGCATTCGGGACCAACCACCTTGTATAGTGGTTGAGAAGAGCCACCTGTCGATGTGGCCCCCACAAGCAAGGACTGAAGGCACAAGGGCGTTGCCCAATCCTCTTGTAGAGCCCAATACGAATTCTCCAGGGCAAGTCACCCAAAGAGAACTGAAGGACAGACACCTTAGGGTGCTAGCCTATCCTATGGCAGAAGTTCTCCAAGTGTGGTCTACAGACCTCTGGGGATCTTGAGGCCCTTGCAGGGGGTCTGTGAGGTGAAAACTATTTTCACAATAATACTGAGACATTTGCCACATGTTGGCCTTCACCCTGATGGTGCTAAAGCGTGAACCTGCTGTCACTTAGCACCCATCCAAGCAGTGGCCTCGAAGGGCGGCAGCAGTCACTGCCAGGAGCCGCAGGAAACAATGCAAAGAGTCAGCTTCACTTTAGAATGTTTTTGATGAAACAATAAAAATTATTAATGTTATGTATTAGTCTCTGCCCATCTGAGTCCACATTTTTCTCCCGTTCTGTGTGACTAACCGGGGAACGTGCATGAAACACTTCTGTATATACTCGGATACGATGATTGTCTTGAGTAAAAGCTCTTGCAAGCTGGACTGGACACTTTTATTTTCATAAACGTCATTTTTACTTGAAAGAACCAATGACAGACAGATTATGGCTACTCAGACTGGAGAATGTGGTAGACGTTTTCTCAAAAATGAAGTGAGCCTGTCATTTCAAGGAAAACAGCAGACAGGATGCATTGCCAATGACAAAATTCAAACTTTCAAGCAAAACTTAGAATTTTGGAAAACTTGTATCTGTCACTATGAATCTGGTAGCTTTCTAATGCTTAAACACATTTCTGATGAGAATGGAAGCAATATTAATGAATGTGATTTTTGATGTCTCAACATCTGGACCATCTGTGTAACTTGGTAAACCAGTATGTTCCAAATGACCAATGTATGATGTCACAAAATCATTTATTTGTAAAAGATTCATTCAAAGTGCAAAGTAAAGCAATGCATTTTAATGTAACAGAGTACAAGTTTACTGATAGGGTTTCATGTTCTACATTGTAATTATCCTTTAAGGAACTACCCTTTGGGGATGCCTTGGTGGCTCGGTCAGTTAAGCGTCTGCCTTCAGTTCAGGTCATGATCCCAGGGTCCTGGGATGGAGCCCCGCATCAGTTCCCTGCCCAGTGGGGAGTCTGCTTCTCCCTCTCCCTCTGTCTGCTTGTGCTCTCTGCTCTCTCTCTCTCTCTCTCAAAAAATAAATAAAATCTTAAAAAAAAAAAAAGAAACTACCCTTTGTAGAGTTTTGGTATAGTATCAAAGAAGATTATCAGTAATTAATGAAAAAGTTATTAAAATATTCTTCCTTCTTCCAGTTATATATCTGTGTGAGATAGAATTTCTTTATATTTCAACCAAAAAAAATACCACAATTGGTTGTGGTTGAATGCAGAGGCAAATATGAAAATCTAGGTGTCTTCTAATTAGGTCAGATATTAAAGAGATTTGCAAAAATGTAAAACAATGATGCTCTTTCACTAAATTTCTTTTGTTTTAGACAATATAATTATTTTCATAAAATATGTTAACATGTAATGGGTTTATTATTGCTAATTCATTATATGTTACTTTTTAAATTAATGAATAAGTAATATTTTAAAACTTCTGTTTTAATTTTTGATACGTTGAATTTTGATAGACAACTCATATAAGCAAAAGGATGTTCGAGTTCTCAATAATTTTTAAGCATCTTGAAATTAAAAAGCTTGAGAATTGCTGCTCTGAGATCCTTGTCGACAAAGTGGTATTTGGGATGAGCAATAATAAAGGGGAGAGGGACCTGACATTTATCAGTTTGCACTGTGGTTGGGACGCATCATGGCTTAATTGGGCTTCATGGCAAGTGTTGGTTATCAAGACAAGATCATCCCTGGAGCAGCAAAAGGAAAGTCATCTATTACTTAAGATTAGTAGAAATCACTTCTGCCAGCACTGAATTTTCAAAGTCCTTCTTAGACCCTGTCTGTGTCCTTCCCATTGGGTCCAATCCTCTGACCCCTTTCCCTCTAAGGAAGGTCTGGCCTACAATTCCTCATCAGTATTGGCCATGGTGACTAGATGGGAGCTAGAAATCTGCCTCCCAGGTCTCAGCGAATGCTACTCTGAGTTCAACAATCAGTACCTAATACTTGGGAAGGCACCAGGCACTCCAAGGCACTAAGAATGAAAGATGAGTGTGTCATGGCTTTTGTTCTGGAGGACTGTTCTGCCTGATAGAGAAGAAAGACTCCTTAAGAAATAATTACAGTCCGATGTGATAAACGCTCCTCTGTATATAGTGACCAGATTTTTCCAACCCAAAATTAAGACACACTGACATCTGACAAAGGAACAATCCTGGGGGATCTAGAGCACATGTCTGTTTTATTAAGAAACTCCCAACAACTCCACAGAAATTCTGAATATATTTGTCCTTGATTTGGCCCAAAGACCCAGAAACAATGGTCTGTACTTTTTTTTTTTTTTTTTTTTCAAATTCTGGGGAATAACAGTGTCAGAACAGAACAGCACAAGAAGCTCCTTAGGATCACGAAAGATGAGTAATGGGCCCCTAACATTTTATTTCCTCTGGGTTAGTGGACTGGAGGCACTGGAGGAAATTTTTTTCCATCATCCTTGTTCCAAGTGGTTTCTTCCTCCCCAGGAAGAGAGTCCGACTTTGTTCACACAGGTCTCCCACACCAGCTGAAGCAGATCAAGCTGAATCCCAGAGTGAGAAGAATGAACTAGGAAGAAGTTTCTAAGATCCCAAGTCTTGATTACATGTGGGTAAAATCAAACAATAGGGCTCTTGATCTGCCAAGTCCCTGCTGGGTGGGCTGCCTGGGGACTATGGAGGCTCTGGTCTGGACCAGGTCTTCTTAAGTCCCAACCACGTACACTTTACTCCCCCTTTTTTGGGGGCTGACCCAAATCTCTCTTTTTAATCTCTTTCTCCCAGTTCCACTTGTCTTTTCCAGCTGTGGCAACTCCAAAATGAAATGAATAAGAATAAAACAGACAACGAACAGAAAAATCATGCTCAGTGCCCCACACCAACAGCCTGCCACCCACAGTTAGAGAGAATGAGCGTCACTGGGTCTTAAAGGCAGTCCAAGGAGCCTGACAAATCCCTTTTCAAATCTTGGATCCACTATTAACTTACATCTGACTAGGAGCAAATCATGACATCTCTCTGATATTCAGTGAGCTTGTCCACAAACACAGGTTATTCTAAGGATTAAATGACATAAACATATGTACAAATGCTTGGCACACGGTAGGTCCACTACTCATCGTTAGAATTTTTGTGTGTGATTATTCAGTAAGTGCCTGTCTCCCCACAAATCTCTGAGTCATATGAGAATATGGGTTGTGTCTTTTTTTATTCACTACTATATTGCTAGAGCTTAGAATGGTGCCTGGCACATGCTAGGTATTTGTTGAGATGACGATATGATAAAAGGGAGTTGGTAGGGTCCTGATTAAGGATCTTCTCGAAAATAGCAAGTTTGGGGCCTCCTAACAACTCCCATGGATTGGTATTGGCTCTCTGGAGCATGGTGTCATGAAGGATTCTAAGGTGGTATCTGGAATCCACAGGGAAAGGGTATGCAGATAGATTACCAACATTATGGTTGAGGATGTTGAATATTTGTTGACCTTAATCTGTGGAGTCAAGAGCAGGTCCTTCTTGCCAGCTATTTCCAGCACAGATAGATCTATTGTGTAATTCATGGATAGAGCCTCTTTAGGGGGACTGAGGTTACCAAATGCTTGACCTGAAGATAAACAGCATGACCTTAGAAATATTTTTTGAAAATCACAGATTAGAACAACGCTATGCAATGAAAGCTCAAAGCATACCAGTATTATATCTGCTAATCTTGATGAATTCACTTTCTGGGAATGTGTATTTCATGAGTCAGCTGGTAAAAGCCAATAGACCTGACATACTTCGGCTGGTTTACCCCACAACCAGACAGAACTTCACTGTGCACCTTCCCCGAATCCATGAGGTGTCTACTCTACTCACGAGGGTAATCCTTTGGGTGCGTCTTCTCGGACCAATTCCCATAAAATGTGAGTCTGTACTTGGCAGTTCCACAGGCACAGCAGTCTAAGATTGGTTTGTCAGTCACCCCGTCAAACATGGAATCTGAAACAGTCAGGGAAACCACTAAGTTAGGAAACAAATGTGGGTGACTTATAAGGCAGCACCATCTTGGTCTTATCCTGTCCTTAAGGCTTGGGGAAAAGAAGATGACGTGCAGTTTTCATTGACTAACAACACCCAGAACCAGGTCAGTACTTGGGCTATCAGGGATTTTTATATACCTCTAAGTATGGTAATTATATTCTGCAAATTAAAAAGACTCAGAACTTTTTGCTCTAACAATGTGAGGAGACCTGTGGGACCAATAAGGCTGAATATTTAGGAAACCAGGGATAAAATTTACTGTTATACTTTTTTCCCACAATAGGACTTGCCCACTACATTTTAAGAGGAATATGCATGTGTGTGTTTTCTCTAAGAAATGTTCTCTGGGGCTAAATTGCCAGGACCAGAAGGAACAGCTTTGCAGAGGAGCAGTGAGAACAAGTAGACAGACATAAAGGACTGCCGAAAATTATTGTAAAAATGTAAAAAATGCACATTTACAATAGGCTTTTCCTCATAGGGAACAGTAGGTCTAAATGTGTCACATCCCTTCTTATCAAGCTTTCAGAGACTTGGGAGGGGTGGGGGTTTAGGACTATGTTGGTAAGTTCAGGTTTACTTCTGAGCACAGCAGCAGCCAGGAAAAACTTAACAAGACTCCCTCTTTGCCCCCATTTTTATCTGTGAATAGCCAATAAGTGGGGAAAGAGAGATTACATGAATAAATTCAGTATTTCCGATTGTCAAGCTCACATCCCTAACTGCATTGTTGCTTTCAGTCTGTTCTCCTTCCTGCAAGACCAAACAATGGCTTACAGATGCAACTTGCTTCAGCTGCTTTTTCTTTGGTTTCTCCAGTGGTATTAACATAAAGGGTTTTTTTTTTTTTTTTTTTTGCAAGTTGGACATTTATTCTTAAGTATTATATAAAGAGTAGTGACAGTATAAAATCTTTTTGAGTGTCAGGAAGAGCATTTAAAAGTCTTCCTTGTGGAATTCACTGGGTTCCTTTGGTCTGAAAATGCAAAATCAGTGATGGATAGAAGAAGTGAATTCTGCACTCTAGGATGGAGCAAAAGTATGAAATATGGTAATAATAACTACATTGTATAGAGTCCTTGTAGGTGCTGATCTCTTTCCATGCACTGTCTTATTTAATCCTAGCAACTGCAGGAGGTAAGTACTTTAGTTAACACCATTTTGCAGATCAGTAAACTGAGGCAATTAGGTAACCAGTGCAAGGTCATGGGGTTAGTAGGTTTGCAGGCAGAACTGGAACTCAGGCCTTTTTGAGTCCAGAGTCCAGGTTCTTAATCTTTGTGCTGTATCACTCTAGGAAGGACCTTCTGCTGGGTAGGTCTGCATAAACACCAATGAGAGTAATTTTTGTGTGTGTGTTTCTCTATGCTTTTTCAAGTGAAGGCTGGTGCATTTAAAAAATGGCCTCCCTATATAGCTCCAGGGTTTCTAAATAGCACCAAAGAAGAGGTCTGAAACCACCCAAAATAGAAATCATTGTTTGGCTATTTTTTTTCTGTACACTTGGAAGAGGCCCGCACATTGTCTGTGCTTAGGAGCAGGCTCTCCGTTGCTTAATGCACATGAAACCCAGGTACCATTCCTGGGTAAGCCACTTTGACAGTTAAGGGACAAGCCCTGTTGAATATATTTCAGGAAAGATAGCATAAATTAGGAACTCTTAAAGATTTTTTTCCTTTTACATTTCCATTATTATTATTATGATCAACTATGTTATAAAAGAACTAAATTAGTTTTGAAAAAGGGATTCCAAGCTAAGAGATACATGTAGGGCGTTTCAGTTGTAGCTCCCAGGTGCCATTTGATGACGGAGCAATCTCTCAAAAAACCAAAATAAGGCAAATTGGTAGCTTTACCTTCTCAAAAGGGCTTTCACATATGGGAAGTAAACTTAAAGATATATTCAGGAGTTCAGGGGACTACACTTACAATAAACCTTTTGGAATTCCAAAGGAAAATTAGCTTCCATTTAAAAAATAAGGCTCCAAGTTTGAAACTAAAAACAGACCTACTGTTCCCTATGAGGAAGAGCCTATTGAAAAGGAACCAGGTTTTTAAAGGGTGGTGATGACGAGAGGTAACTCACCCCTCTTCTGCAAACCGCAGCAGGGCCTGCCCAATATGGGGGACTTCTGGCTGTGCTGATCCCCCAGCCACCCCCTCTCTCATTTCTACTCTCCATCCATTAGCTTCTTCCTTTTCAGCTCTCCCCTTAGTCTTCCTTTGCTCCTTATTCCTTCTCTCCTGCATTTTCCTTCCTTCTCTGCGTTCCTTCTCTGTCTCTCTCACTTCATCATTTGTGACGTGGTATTCAAGTAAACATGGGCATGCATGTGTTTCGTATAGGTCACCTTTTTGAATATTTTATGTCTCTCTGTTCCTAATTGTAAGTAACTTAATGTTTTATGTTTCTTTAAAAAAAAATAATGATTGCTATTGCCTTTTATCTTTGCAGTTGTTAATTTTTCCCCTATGGATGCACAGCTTCAAGTGAGAAAAAATACTCGATACTAGTTTCTTTCTCCCCTTCCTTGATAGATTTGGTCTGACTCACCAAGGAAGCTGAGAATGTAAAGACCTTAATGAAAGAGCTAGAGATAATTAAGTAGGCATACACATTTAAGAGAAATCCTTTTGCTCTCTGCTTACAAATTAAAGACTTTCTTAAGGTGATCTGCTTTGCTAGTTGTGGGATTTCCTCATGGGTCTGCTGTCTCTGGGGACAGTCTAAAACTGCACATAATGATCCTTCAGCCCAGGGACTGCAGGACCTTTTTTTTTTTTTTTTTTTGCCCACAAAGTTTCTGTTGGAAAACGATCTTTTTATACATGGGCATGTTTAGTCATTTTGATAGGATCTCCGCTTCAGAGGTGATAACCAATACAGACTTGCATGCCATTTGACACCGCATCTGCAGAATTTAGCATATTTGTCTGGCTTCACACAACATCAGGGCTGAGGCTCTGGCAGGTGCACTTTAGTTAATGATTGCTGTCCGTATACGGGGGTGACAGCAAAGTGTTTCCTAAGACCCTCAAATCTGGGAAATAAGACTGTCCTCTGAATGTCAAACTAACAAAACCAGACCACAGTGGCTGTGATTAGCCATCTATGGGTGTAGACCTAGAGGTGGCTTATAAATGTGTGATCCAGAACACTCTGACTCTACCTCACAGGACCTGCATGTCATCTCATGGAGAGAGGGCAGGAAGGGGACCGTACTTTAGGAACAAAGAGCCTCAATAGTCAAGATGTTCTGTGCTAGCAAAAAGCCTGAGTAATTAAATACAAAAAGGAAGGCCCCCAAAGCCATGTGTGGTCATGTCCACCTGGAAGCTGACCAGGCACCTGGCCCCCAGGTTCTAGCTCTCTGGCCCCTAAGACAGGTATAACCCTAATGCAGGCATCCAATTCTCTCCCTCTGCTCTTTTCATGCTTTCCAAGCCATCTTCCACATAGAACCTAGTTTCTGCTCTCGCTCATCCAGAGGGAGCTATGCTTTGGTACAATGCACTGAAATGTAGTCCCTTCAACAGAAAGGCAGTGGTTAAGAACACTGGCTCCTAGGTCCAAACCCTGTTCTCGACCACTAGCTGTATGATGCTAAGTGAGCTTTTAAAACTTTCCATGTCTCAAATGTCTCACCTATAAAATAGGGATGATCTAACAGTCTTCACCATATAGGGCTGTTATGCAGAGCACATGAGCAAGGCACGTGAAGTGCTTAGAATAGTGCCTGGCATATAGCAAGCACTCGAAAAATATTAGCTATTATTATTATTTTCCCAGAGGACCCATATGAACCTTTCTTTCTCTTAGTAGCTTATGATTTACTAGAATTGGAGAAGATTATTTCTCTCAAACTGCTAACTGCTCTAAATGCAAATAAAAATTCTGCAAAAATGAATAGACATTAGACAGTTAAGATATATAATTGTAGAACATTTTCTATTTTTATTTAGTTCTCTAATGACTTGTAAACACATTCAGATGTTAAAAGTCTTAATTTTTTATGATGGATTAATAAACAGGCTTTTGGATACAGATAACAATAGCTAACACACACATATATATTATATATTATATATATATGTTATATATATATAACATATATATAGCATTTACTATGTGCCAAGGAGGCGCTGTGCTATTTTAAATATATATTAAGTCACATGGCTGGGAAGGGCAGAGTGAGGATTCAAACCCAGGCTGGATCTGAATCTCAGCCTCTTCTCTGATCTGCCAGTCTACTTGATCTCCGTGAGCTTTGTTAGAGTGCCTTCAACCCAAGGAGAGGGCATCAATAAGCCTGCAAACCTAAGGGCCATGTCCTTGAATGTGGCAAACTCATAAGGTCAATGCTCCCTCGGCAATCCCACCTCCCGCTTGTCCTTCTTGGAGAAAATCCCCCCATGTTGCCCAGGTGCCTCACAGGTTCTGCCGGTGATTATTCCAGAGAATGATTAAAAACACCTTAACGGTACACAATTGTGCATTTCTTAATTAAGTCCTGTGAATTATTCCAAGGAACCTCTTTAGAATAATCACTGTTTCACAAAAATAAGAAGACGACACCAATATAAGGTACATTATCTCCTATCCAGGGAATCAAAGCTGAGTAATTAGAGCTTAAGGCGGATCCAATTATCCACCGCACACAGCCAGATTAAAAATCAGTGCTACGTGAGGGAGCAGAACCTGGAGAAGCTCAGAAAGCCCAATCACCTAAGTCCTGCCACTGGATGGTTGCACCGAATGAGTCCCCTTCCATTTCTCTGGTCCCTCCTCCACCTGCAGTCCTTACCTTGTTCACAAAGTTTCTTGGTCAGAGAGCCCTCATCTTGGAAATAAATGATGCGTTTCTGTACGATGCTGGCCCTGTCGGGAAAGAAGACACGAGTGTAGTGGTGAGGAGAGCAGGTTCAAGGGGCGTCGGATCCTGGCTTGGCTGCCTGAGGCTGTGCGGCTTCGGGCGAGTCACCCCTCACTCTCTGTGCCTCAGTGTTCATTGGAAAACTGGCATTCATAATAATGCATCATACCTCATGGGATTGCTCTGAGAACTAAATAAAAAAACATGTATGTCAATACTTAGAAACCACTCAATAAATATTAGTCGTGCTGTTGGTGGTGGTGCTAATATTATTGTTAAGGTAAGAAAGTGAACTAATGGCATTTTCAGTAACTTTTCTCAGTGGCTCATTTTATTCTAGTTTCGTATCAAACGATTGAAGTCATTTAAAAACCCACCAAATTCAAATCAGAAAAGCATGTCAGGTCCTCTTCCTGAAGGGGAAAAAAAGAATTTGAAAATGTATTTTGATTTGCTCTGAAAATGTCATTCTCTATCTTTCCTGAAAGTCTAGACGAAACTGTCTCCTACATTCTGAACAAAGACAATTTCAGCTGTTATATCTCTCTCTTAAACATGTCAAACACAGGATCTTGGAATCTGGAAAGAATATTTGGAGGCTGAAAAATTACTTCTGGCCAGCACACATTTTCCCTTTAACCTAGGACTGCACAGACAGACTCCGTCTCCTTTAACCCACTCTGCTGTGTATTTTCAGCTGGTCTCACAGACGTTGAACCCTGAAACCCAGCGTTCCTGTAATGTGAAGTCTACAACACTTAGCAATGAAATGGTACCAGTGGATTTCGAGCCCTTTCTGTTGATTTTCTTCAGCAATGCTACTCAATCAAAAGGTAATTTTTACTTTGATTGGCCCTATTTCACAGAGAAAGGGATCCCTTGGCTCCATTACAGCTAAGCACACTAAAGGAGGGTTAGGGTCACATGATCTGCCCTGTGTCACATGACTGCAGACCCAGGCAGGGGTCAATGTGTACATGGCTCTACAGAACATGGAGGCAGTTTTCTCTATGGTGTGGGCCTAGGCCAAGACTACTTTCCAAAGAAACATCTACTCTAAACCCAGTCTTGCACAAAAGAATAAAATTCAGACCAGCCTACAGATGTCTTTTACAGTCTTTCCTTACCCAAGAGAGATGAGATGTTGAAATAAATGAATGAAATATGCTTCTTGTTTCTGCAAAGCTACTTTGATCATTGATCCATTCTGTTGACCATCAAGCTGAAAGTTTCCTCAGGCCAAGAAAACTCTCTTGAAAACACGCATTCCAAAGCCAAATTACAAAGCCTTTTGTTAGGGGCGCCTGGGTGGCTCAGTTGGTTAAGCAACTGCCTTCGGCTCAGGTCATGATCCTGGAGTTCTGGAATCGAGTCCCGCATCGGGCTCCCTGCTCAGCAGGGAGTCTGCTTCTCCCTCTGACCCTCTTCCCTCTCGTGCTCTCTATCTCTCATTCTCTCTCTCAAATAAATAAATAAAATCTTAAAAAAAAAACCAAAAAACAAAAAAACAAAGCCTTTTGTTAGTCAGAGCATCCCATTATCTACCACTTCAGACGGTTCCCCACCAAGAAGAGCCTCAGAGACCCCTGTGGAGGGTGAGGAGAAGGACTTGTGGGAAGTAGCCCAGGCTTGGCATTCTTGCTTCAACTAAATGCTTCATCTTCTTTCCTACCAAAGTGGCCTCCTCTCCCATTTGTCTTCCCCCTGCTTAGTAGCCAGACACTGGCCAGGGACAAGTCAGATGGGGCCACTTCCCATTCTCAAAGTTGACAGCATAGTGGGGAGAAAGAGCCAGACAGCTAAATCCACAGCTAATCATTTAACATGACCGTGATTAAGTGCTGAACAGAGAAGTCCCCAGGATGTGGGAGAGTATAACACAGGGGGTCCTGACCAAGCCAGGAAAGACTCCCCTCAGAAAAGAAGGCTTAGATTGGAAAGAGTAGGAGCTCACTAGGGCAAGTGGGAGAGAGAGACAAAGGAGAGGACATCCTTTAAAGATCCTTGATGTGGGAGGGTCATGGCTCACTGCAGAATTGATCAGTGGTTAAGTCAGGGAGATAGTGTGAGATGAGCTGGGGAGGTGCACAGGGCTATATCACCCTGAGTCTGCAAGGAGATGGCATTTTACACCAAGCTTGGTAAGATCTCTTTGACAAGTGCGTCCTAAGAAATGAGATAATCAGATTTGCTCTTTTAAAAAGAGCACCTGGGGGATGCCTGGGTGGCTCAGTCAGTTAAGCATCTGTCTTCAGCTTAAGTCCTGATTCCAGGGTTCTGGGATCGAGCCCCACAACAGGCTCCCTGCTCAGTGGGGAGTCTGCTTCTCCCTCTGACCCTTCCCCTGCTTGTGCTCTCTCTCAAATAAGCAAATACAATCTTAAAAAAAAAAATAAAAAGAGCACTTGGGGGTGCCCAGGTGGCTTAGTCTGTTAAGTATCCGACCCTTGATTTTGGCTCAGGTCATGATCTCAGGGTTGTAAGATTGAACTCCATGCTGGGCGTGGAGTCTGCTTAAGATTTTCTTTCTCCCTCTCCCTCACCCTTCCCCACCTCTTCCCCTCTCTAAAAAAAAAATAAATAAAAAATAAAATAAAATAAATAAAAAGACCACTTGGGCCATAGAGTAAAAATCAGTTGGTGGGTGGTTGCAGTGTAGAGTTCCCAGGCAAATTAAATTCTACTTCAACAAAATTCACTTGGGATGCCTGGCTGGCTCAGTCAGTTGGGTGTCAGACTCTTGATCTCAGCGCAGGTCTTGATCTCAGGATCTTGAGTTCAAGCCTTGCATTGGGTTCAACGTGGAATCTACTTAAAACAAAACAAAACAAAATTCTCTTGCTAACGTGGCTTGAAAACCCCTGACCTATGGGATAAAATACAAAATTACCACTGTATTCAAGGGCTTTCATAAAATTTCTCCCAAACGCTCCTCTGACTTCATTTGTCCCCATTTTGTGCCATGCTCCTTGGGTTCCAGAGTTTGAGAAGGGGAATAAACTTTCTCTTATCTGAACACCTCTTCCACTCTACTGGGCCCTTGCTGGTACTGTTTCCTCTCCCAGAATCTCCCCAAATCTGCCTTTGTTAGCATCTGTAACAAGTACTCTGAATTTTCTTCCTCCTGCTGTGAATAAGAGAATAATGGCAAAGCGTATGATCACGTTTAGAAAAATTAAATCACCCCAAATTTTCAAAAGTATAATTGTAAAAATGTGGGCGGACAGAGATAGAAAACATGTATTTCTTATAAGATGTTTTCATTTCCTTCATGCCTTGTTTTATGAAGTCTATGATGGCTTACTCTCTCTTTTTGATAATAGTTCTAATTTCTGAGCCCTTCCTATGTGCCAGTCATTGTGCTAGGGAGGCCCTTTATGTACACTACCTTACATATCTTATGTTTTACATATATTACAACTCCTCAAATTCCTTCCTCATCCAAAACTGTTAGGTTAGATGCATTTTTGAATACAGAATTTTACAGATATTAGGAAGTTAAGATGATAATATACTATTAACATCCCCATAATCAAACCCATCAATATTCTGTAGCAAAATGTAAGAATATTCATAATAAGACAGTAAATAAAAACCTTAGTTTCCTGTCAGTTTAGGTCAACTTTAACAAGCAAACTTGTTAAAATGCTCTTAGTTTTAGAAGGATTAAGATGAAAGTTTGCAGCTAATTTCCCCTTAACCGGTGATGATGACCGAGATGCAGGGGGGTAAATAACACGCTCAAGGTTTTGAGGTTTCCCCTGTCTATCTCCAAAGCTCAGGACCTGTCCTACGTCCAGCATGGTTGTAAGGGATTAAAGATGATCACATATAAAAAGTATAATTGGCTTGTGAGGTAAGTGTTATTATGAAATGTAACCTCAAATTGACTTTCCTTGGCTCCATTTTAGCATCTCATGGAACATACTGTGAAGAACTGAGACTTTGGTGGGTTTCCCTGGAGCCTGGGTCATGATCACCTGAGCTCTCCACGAAGACTGAGCATACATCTCCATGCCCATGCTTGGCCAAACCTCTGGATTATACCCTTTGGATTTCAAACTCTGTGCAGATCAAATGTGGGATACAAGGCTTGTTCTGATCTGACTTTATCTTTATCTAATCCCTCCTGAGCACTCTGTCCAAGCCATACACTATATTTGCCTTTGCAATCTCTGCCCCTGGGCCTCTGTCCATGGGACTCCTTCTGTCCTTTTCTGTGACGTCTCAACACACATATGAGCATAACACACACACACACACACACACACACACACACACAAACACACACACTTACTTCAGTTACCCAGAACTCATACCCATTAAGATTGGTTTCTTGACTGGCTGCTTGGTTAGGTGCTCTTCCTATGAGCCACAGCCTCTTGGGTGTCTTCCACCACAGCACTTAATAACCTGTACTGTAACAGCCTATTTACTTTTCTATCTCCTGTACTAGTATATAAACTTTTCGAGAGCAGGAACTGTATCTTACTTACTTCTATTGATGTTAGCAGTGTTGTAGTACTCAGATTCAAGGAGAAGGAACAGAGTTTGGGGAAAAGGAGAGAATTTAAGGTTCAGTGGTCTGTAGGGCATGATGGTGGCCGATCTAGTGACCTTAGACATAGGGAACTGTAACTCAGGAGGGATGTGGGGGGTGGGGAGCAGGGGCATGTGAGTCACTGGAGCAGAAGTTTCTGAGGCGGCTAATGTCACCCAGGGCAAGTGTACAGAGTGAGAAGAGAGTCAGGTTGAACCCAGAACTCTGGGGAAGACCAACATTCACTTGCGGATATGCCAGCAGAGACCAAGATTTGGTACGCTTGGTTGCAGAAGATGTTTCTTTTTATTCCTCATCTGGTCAACTCCTGAGAAAATTTATATTCTGAGAAAATGCATTTCATTTTGAGATGTTCCCATCAAAAGTATAAAATTCAGCTGAGATTTATAAATATTATAGTTCAGAAAAGTAATAGCTTTACAAGATGAGAAAACTGTTGGTAAG